TTTAAAGAGTACTACTTTGGAAAACAATTTGGCAGTTTCCTATAAACTTAAGTATCTACTAGTTTTATAACCCTGCAATTCTATTCCCAGGTATTACCCAAAAGAAATGAAAACACATCCATGCAAAATTTGTACAAGCACAACCATAAAAGTTTTATTCATAGTAGCCCCAAACTAGAAAAAACAATCTTACAATAGATGAAGAAATAAAATCCAAAAAGGAGTGAACTGCTAAAACACCCAAAAACATGAATGAATTTCAAAAACACACTGAGCAAGAGAAGTCAGACACAAAAAACATTCTTCATGATTTCATTTACATAAAATTTTACGACAGGCAAAACTTTCTAGAACTGTTTTTCAACTTGGGAAACTCTGCCTTCCCTAGGCAATGTTGGAAACATTTTTGGTTGTCACAAGTCGGGGGTGTCGGGGGTAGGATGGGGGAACAAGTGGTTGCTATTGGCACCTGGAAGGTAGAGGCCAGGGATGCTGTTAAATATTCTATTGATATCATCCTGAAGACAGCAGCCACAACAAGGTATTTTCAGCCCCAAATGTCCATAGTGCTTAGGCCCAGGCTGAGAAATTCTGCTCTACAGTGATCAGTGGTAGTGTAGAAATGAGAGTAGGGATACTGAGTGTAAAGATAAATGAAGAATTCTGGGATAAAAATGTTTTGTAATTGTAGTAGTGATTAATTTCTTGGTCAAAATTCAATTTTTTCCATTGTGCTCGTTCATTTTATATTAACTAAAACCATAATAACTTTTGTATGTAGATATGCCACTAGTACCTAAAACAGGTCTAAATAAAGGAAGATAAGAGAAAAGCAGAGGGGCACATAGATTGAATAGCAATATTTAACTTACTTCAAGAACCTATAGAAGTGTATGATAAAACGGCCGTTAGAAGTAAATTTTTACTCTAAAATGCTGCTTAGGGTTAGCCAGGTGGTACAGGGCAGCTAGATCCCACCTGGCTAATTTTCTGACTGGAGTTTCAGACCGTTTGGCCTTAAAAACACACTAGGAGCTTGCATGTTTGTGCCCAAAATCCCAAGAAAAGAACAGAGAAGATGGAACTGCAGCATGGCCATCTCTCCTGGAGGGTGCTTCTCACTTTCTCTGTCTCTCTCCGGTGAGCACACTCGCTCTACAGCAAATTAAAAGGAAAAAACAAAACCACATCGCTTAATTACTGAATGAGTGAATTTCATCTCCTTTAATACAAAACACATGGAAGGGAAAATTTTCACTGTAAAGTGTTATCAAGCCAATATAAGACAGGTTGAGAAGATTTAAGAAATTCTTTAAAATTAAATGAATAAAGTTACAAAGGAAGAACCCAGTTCATCATATGAATACCATAGAAAGTGCAAGTACAATTCAGTTATGTTCAACAATAGGCCAGGGCCTCTACAAAGCATGAGGAATATAATAAAGCTATTTCTTAAGAGCTAGTTATGGAGAAAAATACTGTCAACAAACGAAATAGAAAATGCTAAGGGTTGTGATGGAAGCTTTTAAAAAATATTTTAAACACGTTTTGGGCATACTCCTCCCCACCATGAGACTGCTGTTTTTCAAGCTGCCAGGACTCAACCTATGGTTTTGTACAAACAGCGCTTAACTGCTATACTATGAGTCTCACCTTATGACGAAGGGTTTAAGTGATACAACGAAAGAATCAAACAACTAAGCCTGCTGGGTATGAAAAGCATTTACAAAGAAAGGTGACATTAGAGTGGGGTCTTGATGAGTCCTAAGAGATTACCAGGTGAAAATCATTAGATAATTTAAAACTATTAAAAGAAAAAACCGTACATAATTTAGTTATGCTGTTCTTTGTTACATTTTATAGTTTTAAAAGTCAGCAATGAGAAAATCTCTTACTATAAAGATTATCCTACAAGTTAAGCAAGGATAAGTTATACATACTGAGAAAATTCCATATTCAAGAAGAAAATGTGCTTAAGATTTACCTTGCTAGTAAATACACTCTTTACACTTCTACTACCCATCTAAGTTTGGCAATTTAAGCGTCTGGTACCACTTGCAAAACAAACAAGTCAACAGCCCCCATCCCCAAAAGCAATTAGACTAGTTTTTAAATTGCATATTAACATTTGTTAGTAAATTCCATATAAAACATTTCATACTATTAGTAAGAACAAATCTAAGATGCCTCCCAAAAGAGGGTTACTGGGAACCTTATAGTCCCTGATAGTAAGTTTTCAAGCTATTAGAAATGCTTATAAATACATGACAAACGGGGTGAATGATTATGTTGCAAAAAATGATTTTTTTTTTTAAGCTTTTTGCCATCGGGTGTGTGTGGTTGCTGGAGACAAGAGAGAAAGTGAGAAATCTCTCCACTGATGTAGTGAGGGGGTGGAGAGGGTCTAGGGATGGCCATGCTGCAATCCCTTCTCCATTCCTCTCTGGAGATTTTGGTCCCTTCTCCTCTATTCTTTCAGAATTTGGGGCACACACATGCACACGTGAGATCATAATTTTTAGGCAGTTGGATCCAGGGCTCAAACCTCAGTCAACGAAGCAGGAGTCCAGTGCCTTAACCAACATGCCACCTGCTGGCCCCGATTTTAAGAAGGTAAAAAGGGACATGTTGGTTGGGGCGGCTGGATTCTGTATGTTGGACTTTTGAGGTTGGATCCCAGATCCATTGGTATGAAAAACACACCAGGTACCTGTCTGTGTGCCCAATATTTCAAGTGGAGAATGGAGGAGATAGGATCCTGGTGTGGCCATCCCCCCTGGGGGGTTGATTTCTCACTCTCACTCTCTGGCTCCCTCTTACAAGCACAGGAGCCCAATAGCAAGCTGAAAAAAAAAAAGAAAAAAAAAAAAGGAAAAGGAAATTCGTATATTATGCAGAGAAAAAAATCCTGCAAGTGTGTTGGGATGATGAGACAGACTTTAGGTAGAATCTGCCTGCCCTGTTTCTTGGTTTTTCTGTAATTCTCAACACTATTGAAATTAAAGCCTTGAAACAGAATACACTGACTTTATTAAAACAGACCAATTTTTATGCAGCAGAAATCCAATTTTTGAGTGAGAAAGTCGTCCAAAGACAAAGGGTCTTACATGCACCTGAGTTTGTGAAGAAAGCAGTAACATTTCTTTTCTTTTTGACTTTGAGTCAAAGAATCACTGAGGGCAATCTCAAAAACATTATTTCCTGACTGTGTGTTTCAGGAGATTGGAGAAAAAGGAAAAATGCTTAAAGCACTAAACTACTTTACAAAGGAGCCTTCTGGAGTCGCGTAACAGCCACCGAACTACAAACTCTTGTTATTTTATAGATAGGAGAGCCAGGAGCAAGTTCAACACCAGCCAAGGATTAGAGGCACAGAGAAAAGTCACTGCCTGATTTATTTTTCTCGTTTTCCACACTGCAAAAGAACTCTCCTTCCTCCCCAACTCTCTCTGGCTCCTTAAAATGTCCCTATGGTCAGTCCCCGGCCCCAAACACCCTTCCTCCAACACCCTTCCTCCGCAGTAACGCCTTAAGATCCCTGCACCCTACGGGGGAGTGTGACAGGCTGCATCCACTTACTGAGCTGTCCTCCGCCCGACGTTGTACTCGGTTCCCGACCTCCAGCGCCACCAGCGCCGGCTGCTCCAGGGATCCCAGGCGCCCCCACTCCCGGCGGGGTTCCACTCTGCCTCTCGAAGTTGCCTGGATTGGAGAAGTAGTCGCGCAGTCGAGGCAGCTCGCGGCCGCTTTCTAACAGCTCCGTATGCAGCTCCAGGGCGGTCAGCAAGTATTGATCGCGCAACAGCTGAGCCGCGATCGCATCAATTGACAATCGGGCCGGGGTCTCTCCAGTGCCCCCCAGAGCCACCGCGGCAGCCGACGCCTCCCCAGGGAGCCCAGACCGTGCACCGCTCCCTAAGGCCACGGGATCCTGTGGTGATAGCGAGCCAGCAGAGCCAGGATCTAGTCCACCTCCGGCACTCAGCCGAAGTCCTGCCCGCCGCTCCTCGGTGGTCGCTACCTCGTCGTCGTCCTCGTCGGAATCACTGAGGAACGGCT